ACATTGTTTAATAGAGGGATCGGTTTTTATTTTAAGTTTTTTGCTGCATGCGTGACTTAGTGTTACTGTAATTAATTGTTAACGTGTTTGTGCTCAATAGGTGATATGTATACGAAGTAGAAACAAAATTTGAACAATTGGATTCATTCACTCGCAAATAATGATTTGTTCCTATGTTAAATTGAAGAAACAGATGGTCTGCTAGCTTTTGAACGAATAATACAGTCTGAACGTTTAAAAATGGTTACTAATACCAACCTATAATTATCTATACATTTTTACAATTATCAAAAGCAAATGTTTTAGCAAAGCATCGTACTGTCTACAATTCCTGGAACACAATGATGAATAACGACAGATTAACGCCAGTTTTATAATATTTTATACCTTCTAAGGCACTAACGGTTTCGTTTCTATTGCACACTTAATTTTATATTAATAACGAATTAGGCTTTCAACGATAATTATAAATATAAATCCCAGCAAATTTCTTGAGAAACGATCATAGACAAGGTAGCCTGCGCAGTAGCAATTTTACATACAAAAACCTGTACTGCGCAAGTTTATTTGTCTGTGGTATTGCTCAAGAAGTAAGCTACTATTTATACAGTTATAACTTTCGTTCGTTATGTAAATAATGCATACAAATTTATAAAAAAAAACGAGCGAGCCTTATCTACAACAAGGCTCGCTATGATGTGTAACATTTGACTCCTCAGATAAGTAACAAAGGAAATAAAACCTACTTCCAAAGAAATAAAGCAATTTAAACTAAATTGTGTGCGCCTCCCCGATTTCCTGTTTCACACTTCCGTCCCATTTCACGAAATCACTCCCACAAATTGCAAGAAAACTAGAACGAAAGACAGATGTTACACATCAATAATGTAAATTGTAAGGTATATACTTAGCCCTGCCATGCAAGAATAAAAGACAAAATATCGCAAACTCATGGCATGTAGGTTCGTGTTTTTCGTTTTGACTGAACTAAATATATATATGTACAATATATCAATATATAAACTGTATGCAAAAGAAACGAGTCAAACGTGACATTGAATCATCACTTTCTTGCCCACTCCAGATGTATGTTCTAGTTACAAATGTGCATTTTGTAACAATAGTTTTTTTCTACAGAAGTGCTTTCATTTCATTAACATGCTTGATGATAAGCAGCCTAATGTATCAAAATGCATTATTTATATAGTACCTATATAAAGGTCTTACAGATATACAAACGTGTGTTACGCAAAATCAGCCGTTCACCCCTGTAAAAAACAACAAAGTTACATGGTTCAATTTTTCAGTTCAGAATGATGTCATTCGTTCATACATATTATAAATTTATGTTTAGTATTGTATATGAACCAGATTCTTAAATATACACACACACATGAGCTGAAGCCCATCTAAAAGGAGGATAAAATGTTGAAAATAAATGAACAACCGATTTTTTTAAATAGAAAATATCAACCAGCTTTTTATGCAACTTAATTTTATTGTAATCGACTTGCATTTAACATCAGATGCCATAGTAAATAACATTTACGACTGGTATTTAATTAAAATATTTCAGATCCGCTAATATTAAGTGTAAGTCCAGAAGCAGACAGTTGACGCGATACAAAGAGTAAAAATATGTACCGTAATGCATATTTTTTCCCGTACGTGTTTATCAACGACTCAACTCAAACATTACTGTAGGTTCTGTACTGTAGATTAATGGAACTGCTTAAGCACTTATTCACTTCTCTCGCAAATGTTTAATGGAATAATTAGGAATATATTTCTTTTAGACGATGAGGGATGGAAACTAATAGCACACTATTAAGGAGAAAAAAGGATCTATCAATAATTTTACCATCTTAAAATTTTCGTCCAGTGCCCTTAGCACGAACCAATATCAAATTCGTTTAAGTAGTTGAATTCGATCTCGATACGCTTCAAATGTCATGAAGTTTTGTCTTTTTTCTTTTAATTCTCATTACATACAAAACTTCTTGACATTTGACTCGTATATTGAGATCGAATTCGATATTGGCTCGAGCTGAGGGTACCCTTAGCACAAATTTGAATATGCACAATCTTTGCGGTAACAAAAAATACTAATTAAAATGTCACTAAAACATTGATTTTAATTGACGGCTCTCTATTGATATACATTTTATATGTCAAATGTTATTTTGAAACATAGCTATTGTGTTAGTATGTACCTACCGCATGTAAATGATTAACTTTATGTTGATTGATTAAACAAGCAAGTGGTAGGTAAACTCAAACCCCCTTACTAATAAACGAGTGTTTTGTCATATCACTCCAACGCCATTTGCCATTCAATGAACAGAGACAAAACATATAGTAATTAATAAGAGGGAAAGAGTTTTATGCATAAAATATATCAATATGCATAAAAAAATATTAAAACGCAAAATTTTAATACACTTTAAAAACGTCGGGATAAAGAAGGTACGAAACCCTTAAATAAAGTGCGCGTTTTAACCGGTTGTTATATGCAAATTGGCTACAATGCATGACCGAACGGGTGAAATAATTTAACAAACTCCAACAGCTTTTTATGCTTTTAAATTTCAGTCAAGTTTAAGGTGATGGAGCCTCCTTAACACTTATATTGGATTTTATTACTCTTGAAAGGCCATAGATTTCCCATATATGACCGGTGTGATAAGGGTTACCAACTTTTTGTCTATCAACTATAGTATTTTCGAAGCGTTACTTATGAAAACATAGTAGCTGGCAAAAAAATGGAAAAAAATATAGTATGCGGTTAAAATGTTTACTTTATTCTTGAAATAAATATATTTTTGCTGTTCTTTGCCTTACTATTAATATAATAATTATTTCTAATAATTTTTAAGAGGGCTTTTACTTGTCAAAAATATGCTTTAAGCAAAATATAGTAGTTTCGCATACTCACCTAATATAGTAGAATACAATATTAAATAGTAGGGTTGGCAACCCTAGGTGCGATATACTTGTCCTTCTTATCGATGTGATGCTAGACAAAGACAAGCATATCGCCCGATGAACGATAAAACATCGACCGTTAACAAGAGACCAAAAAAAAAGTGTTTCAAATACTTATCTTGCACATCTGTCCCTCATAATAACTATGGTGTTTGTTTCCTCTTGTAATATATATTTCCTTTAGTTTTATTAATATAACCAAATATCACTTTTACTGGAAACATATATTTTAAATAATGCTCGCTTCAAGTGTTGTATCAAGAAAAAATACCAGCATATGTTTATCATTGCAGTGGAATGGAATTATAAAAGTAATGTGAAACAGCACTGATAAGACTTCCGACTATTGGTCACGTACGTAAAATAGTAAAGATTTCCATGTTTTAGTCATCATAATTTATTTATCTACATACACACTAATTTCTTTGGTCATAATGTGACATTAATCATAATATAATAATACAGTAAACATAAGGATCGAGTAACTCTTTTATTTCATTTGTAAGAATTTTTTATAAATAAATTATTCTAGCCATCAAGTTAAAAATCACCATATAAATAATACCAAATGAATTGCTTTACGTTTTCAAAATTTACTGCAGTTGCGTTACAATGTCCACAAACTGTAGGATGAAAAAATATACAAGGAATAATAAATTTCAATAATATGAGGAACAAATCGGTATAATTACGCATATGGTCAAATTACTTTTTTTAAACTACATTTATTCTACACTACAGTCCGGAGGTTTCGGGCCCGTTGAATTTGAATCTCAAATAATTTTCAATCAAAACCGTCTAAAACAAGGTTAAAATTACTAAAATTAAAAGCCAAGCTTTTGGCATCACAGCTCACTGTAGGTATGTCATTCAGTTTTATACAGCTCCTGTAAAATTAAATTTAATGTAATTATACCGTTTTGTTCGCCAATTCCTCATATATAATAATAAAGTTGAACTGCGATTAAAAAACGTAGCGCCCGCGCTTGATATATCATCTGCTCAGATTTTTGCTATAAATTTTTGCGACAACGTAGATATATTATATGAGTACTATTCACATTGTCGAATATTGATATAAGGGTAAAGTAAATGCTGCCTCCTCCTAAATGTGGTGTCCCTCAAAATTTGAAAATAAATTTTCATAACCAAATTGTCTTTTTTTTTATATACTGGTAATGAAATCAGAACTGTTTAGGAAATTTCCTTTTAATAATATATATTGCAGTTAGTGTGGTATCGTGTGATACTTTACCGTGGAGTCATAGTATTCTGACACTTCAAGAGCGTGAGACTATGTGTAAAAGTAAATTTTTTGACGACGATCGATCTTTTGTAAAACTTTTAATAACATAATAACAAAACGTCACTTTTAATCAATAATTTAAATCATTTCACATATAACTTCATAGCAAATTTAGATGATAAATAATTATGATGGAAAAAACAGAAAGATAAGGTAAAATTAATATTACTGATCCTTTTGTAAGCAAGAATATTAATAATACATAGCCGATTAATAAATAGCACAAACATAATATACTGATTGCTCTGATCGCACAGTTAGAATGTTAAGCAGATGTAAAAATTGACAACATTTTATGAAACCGTTTAACCTCACTTCACCATCAATTCGAAACTAATAAAACAACATTCTACAACCAATAACAGCATTATTAACACAAAAAAACAACCATGGAATCATTTTGTTGAACACAGAGTCCAATAAAATACCTACTGACAAAAACAAAATTGTCAACGGCCTTATAAAAACGGCAATTATAAAAAAAATACAAATACAATATGTATTACCAATAATTAAAATTAATGTCACATCACTGAATGCACGAAAGGTTTCGGATGTTTTTATTTTACAAGTATGTTGTTTTCCTTTGGGAATGTGACTGAATATACAAAGGTTAGGACTAGAACAGCTTAAACGTCCTTGCTAATTTTTTTTTAATTTGTTGTACAATGGAATGTTCCAGATGGCGAATTGACAAGTGCCTTTCTGGAATCCGCTAATGGTCGGTCATAACAAACGCCTGTTTATTTTCGGAGGTGGTAGCCGATTTCGCGTCTATGAAGCACACCCCGCCTTTGTGTTAAATTTCAGGAACGATTCTTCACCCTATGATCTGAAAGTGAAAATTTTGATATATAAGTAAAATAAAAACTTCCTTTGTGAGGTTTAACATGCATTTTAGGCCGATGTAAAACTCGGATATTTTTATCGCTACATAGGTATCGATTCTGGCATGATTCTGTGAGCCTATACACAAAATGAGTAGGAGAGACTGATGTTAAATTTAGTTTTCACCAGTATAGAACTATAATTAACGATTTAATAAAAATCATGACAAAAACAAATCGACTCCATATAAATCGATGGGCTCTTTTGCATTATTTCTTTTTTACCTACCCACGAACGTGCTAAAATGTTCGGTCATTGAACAGATTGATTTGTGCATTTGAAAAAAGATTTACTGTGGGTTGTGTAGGCAAGTTTTAAAATTGCGTAAGTTTTATAGAGGCCTAGGTTACATGTAGAGGAGCAACCCTAAAAACATATATTTCATCATTATGTAGACGAGATTGATATACATATATCAAAGTAAAAAGATAAGTAATTAGGTATAACTGCGCATGTTAAATATTTTTAGCTCGTTTTTCACTGGTTGTGCTGCGCTACACGACATATTGTAGTTAGTAAGTATTCTCGTTGTAAATGAACTTTATGTTTTTATGAGAATAAATTCTTTAAGCCTATTACTTACTATTGCGGGGCAGAACGACGGCTTGCATATCTGATACTGTGCAGCTGTGCAAGTTGTTGTGGAACATGTATTGGATCGTGAGGTGCTTGTCATCGCCCACGCACGGATCGAAGAAGCCGGGCAATTCAGACTGAAACGAACAAACTTGTTAATGTATACATGTAATAAAATGGAAGGAAAGTCAAAACTGTACATTGAATATTTTTTTAAAACAATACTTGGGGTATGATCTACAATCGATACCGCAGCTAAAAAATATAGTTTTTAGAATTTATGTCTGTTTGTCTATATGTATGTCCGGGATAAACTCAAAAAGTACTGCATGGATTTACTTCAAATTTGGCATGAATATTATTAAGAAGTCGGGTCAACGTATAGGCTACATATTATCACGATTTCACCTACGGGGAACGAGCAGTGAAGCTTTATTTCTAACTAACTCCACGCGTACGAAGTCGCGGGCGGCCGCTAGTATAAAAATATAATAATTAGATATTTCCAACACTCACACCAATTCGCCTAGCCCCAAAGTAAGCACTGTAAATATGGCTATATAAATATACTTATATATATATATATACACATACTGACACATAAATAAGTATATTTATATAAAAATACATATAAAACATCCATGACAAATGAATCCGGGACCTCTCGAGTAGGTGACACCTTGAAAACCGGCGTACATACCACTCGGCCACGTAGGTTGTATCTTAACACTTCTACCGGATATCTTCTAGTATAACACAAACAATATACCAAATTGTCTTATAGCAATGTACCCTTAATTGATTGACTGGTAGAAAATGCCTAAGACATTGAGTCCGCCGTTTACTGATTTGTTAATCCATACTAATATTATAAAGTGTTTGCCTGTTATCTCTTCACGCTAGAACAACAGTTTAGTCCCGGGAAAGGACAGGAATCATCCTTTAGGGGATGAAATGGGTAGAGATGTTTGTATGGAAATTTGGAAGTTGCGGTCGCCCAATAGTAAAGAAATAATTTTGTTTTGTTTTTTAATAATAACTACCAACCCGCACGTCAGCTTTTTAAGGATGAAATAAAATTCAATGATAAAATAATAATTTAAATTGTACTAGTGATAGAACATTTAAAAATTTGTTAAAATATTAATCTGTATATAATGGCTGAACAAATCCGGATGAGACACACATATAGTTTATTACGTGAATAGGATACCTTCTTTTTGTGCTAGAAAATTTTACTAGTTTTTGTAAAACTTTCTTAAAAAAATACACCGAAGTCGCAGGCGGAAGCTGGTACATTGAATATTCTGTTACTCAAACACGCAAAAGCGACTGACCGTATTTGGATGAAGTTTGGCACACATGTAGTTTATTACCTGTGCACTGAGACAAAGGTTACCCACTTTTTAACCTCTGAAAAAGTTTAATTTCCTGTGGGTTTCTCAAAAACTACCTAATAACCAGGAAAAAAGTCCATTTGTCAAGGACTTAACGTACATGATGTGCGGACAGTTGTTGCCTGGAAATTAAGAGAAACGCACATTATGAAAGCAAATATGCTGAGATTACGTTGCATTGTAATTAACATAAGTTTAGGTAAAAGGAAAAAACGTTTTAAAAGAGAATACTGGGTCCTTCCCTTTAAGGGCCTGCGCTGCGATAATTATTTCATTTTATTTATTTATTTAATCCAATATAGCATTTAACTAAGTTTACGATACATACCTGTCGCCAAACTGTTTTCACATTATGTAGACGTTCCGCTTATTTCCATTTTATAAATATCAATTTAATGACTTAAACTCAATTTTTATAAAGAAAATATTACGAAGCATCGTGCAGGTAGCAGCTTTAAAAAAAAATATTATACTAGTATATATAAGCGGGAGCACCATTAGGAAGGCGGCTCCGCGTGCAGTTTCATGTCATTTCATAGAGCTACTCTATGAAATAACATGAAACAAACACGCGAAACGGACGTCCGCTCCGTGCTCCCGCTTAACGCAGCGCACGGCCTAAATCGAAACGAGCGCGCAATGTGGACTGAGTTCTATTAATTTTCGGAGACTCGGGCGTACTAATTTATCTGCTTTCATCCTATACAGCCCACCTAGCATGAGCACCATGAAATGATATATAATGTGGTTTTATCACGCTCAATTATCAAATTACTATGGAGTTTGACAATTAGACACGATAAAAAAGGTGATACAATATAAATTCTGGTGCTCATGCTACAGGGACAGATTAAAGTTCACTGTGTGCGTTGCTGCTTCTAGTCACTTAGGTTCTTGTTTTGTCGGTTACACCCGCGTACTATTGTCCTGCCCGGTTTCTCGGTATCCTCGGTTGTTCGAGGTACTTTTTGAATGCGGTACTTTATCCATCTTGTGCGTTAAAAGTTCGCGGACAAAATTCCCTCGTCTGCGCAGACTTTAACGCTGGCTTAACAATATCATATTTTACCTTGCTGACTTCCAGCAGTTCCAGGCGCGAGTCCTTCACGGAACGTGAATTTTGTCATGATTTTAACAAACATAATATAGTTATAATTTTTTTTCTAGTTATATTTTCTTTAGATTTAAACATAATATACTTCAGCACTTATAATGTTACTAGTGGCCACCTGCGACTTCGGTCGCGTAAACATTTTTTTTTTTGAGAATATCACAGAAATCTCTTATAAATTATTATTTATATACAAAGGTTTGCAGAGTATAAATATGATGTATTTTTATAATAGTAACTACTGACTTGTTTTGTTTTACATAAGTAACACATTGTAAGTCATTTGTAATTAATCGTTATCCACGGGAACTCTGCCGACAAACTATTGTAATAGTTTGGTAGAAATTTTTATGTATAATCAATGTGTGATTTAGAAAACCAATAATAAAAAAGGTGCTAAATAAGCATATGACTCGTCTGATTGTAAGCGGTCATCAAAGCCTATAGACGCTTGCGATACAAAACTTATCGCTCGCGCCGTTTTTCCTACCATAACCCCGCGGTTTTGCCTACCATAACCCAAAACCCTACCCCGTGGAGCCCTGGAACCTTACTCACCGACAGACATACAACACGATCAAAAGGCAGTGTTATTTTACTGTGGTCTTCTATAAGGTGGAGGTTAATTCCCCAGTTGGGCGCTCCAATTCGAGCGTAAAATCCGCTATGCCCTACTAACAGTATTATCGTTCACCTTGCTGGCCTCCAACAGTTCCAGGCGGGAGTCCTTCACGAGACACTGTATCGGGATGGTGACGTCGATCACTTCGCTGTAGAGGCTTGGCGATTCTGGAGACGTGGCCGTATCGCCCGTCTGTTCGGCCGCGATCTCGTGACTCGAAGCACCTAGCACCAAAAATAATAATAATAAAAATAACAAAGGATCCATTAGGGCATTTTTGTAATATTGAAAGGTACGTAAATAATATTTTTTAAAGATATATCATGTGAACTAAACAAAGAGTTGAAGAGAGAAAGAGTCCTGAGTTTTTTTGCCAAAAATAAAAAACATAACCATGTAATTTGGTTTGTATGCAGTACTGATAAAGAGAAAAATACGAAAAACAACTCTAGAGGTCTAAAGCTTTAAAATCAAAAAAAATTCATCTCTGTCTGCTGTGGTGTATTTTTCCATAGTAAAGTTCAATGTACTTTCACAAAATCTTATTTTTTTCACTATCCCCCAACGTTTTCAACCGATGCCATTACAAAAGAGCCGAGAGTTGATGGCTACACTAAAGCATAGTTTAGTATTAGTTAGAAATATATATTTGCTTGAATCCAGAGATGGTACGATTAAAACGCCGGTACGATTTCACCTACTCTCCCCTATATAATGGAATTTAATATCCACTAAATATTTTCATTCAATGTTTGAACGACATTTTTATGTGATACACCACATCAGATAATATATTATGCTAAATGTACAACTTTAAATTCATTAAAATAAGCTACGAAAATCATAAAAAAATAAACCTGATCGGCAAATGCTTGATAATTTAACAATATATTATATTGCAATTGCATGTCCATCAAACTCCATATAGTCCAGGCAACGAAAAGGTATAGAGGGAAATGCTTAGAACACAATTTTTGACTTCGTAACTTTGTTAGGACTAGTTAGGAGGTAAACATATCAAAAGTCCCAAAAAGAATAAGACTTGTAGCAAATTTAATCAGCTTTCACTTTTGTCAAAGTCTGGTGTCGCTAGGATGCATAGTTTCCGAGATATATGTGAAAACCCTAAAAATGGGACCTTCAATCCCCCCCCCCCCCCTTCCCCCCGGCTTAAGGGCTACGGGCGGGGACTTTTGATATGTTTATCTCCTAACTAGTCCTAACAAAGTTACGAAGTCAAAAATTGTGTTCCAAGCATTTCCCTCTATACCTGTTTTTGAGCATTCGTTGCCTGGACTAATACATAAAATAACGGAAAGGGTTTGCCAATAGGAGGTAATAGGTTTGTTCCAAACATAATAGGGAATATGCATGTAATTCAAATAAGGCTTAAATTATTTGTACATAAACTCTATTACTTTTCCTAATTGTCCCACCAACAATATTTTTTATAAGATTTCTTTTTGAGCAAGCTTTTGAGCAAATGAATTATTGAAGTATGCGAAAAACTTGTGGGATATTAAAATATCTGAAACGAGACAGAGAGGTTGTAACGTAAAGATATATAATAACAAATAAATAAACAAACGCCATGTTCACAGGATATGTCGAAGTCAACGACACTTAGTGCCATGGAGGTTAGAGAGATGGAGAACGATCGCTACGTGCTAAAGCATTAGCCCGCCTGTCTCTGAAAATTTGTAGAATTTATAGTTCATTTTTCAGCCACCAGCCGCGCTGCCGTCAGTAAGTAGCATCTATGAAGTTAGCTGTTTGTGAGTACAAGTAGATGAAGTTAGTTGAATAATGTAAAATTTTTCTTCGCGGCATTGGTCATTTCAAATTAGCGCACAACAGCCCGCTTTTATTGAGACAACTTAGCGATCGCAGCGCTTAACTTATTTTGTCCATATTTCTGGGACACTTTTCTCTACAGTGATCGTTCTCCTTCTCTCTAACCTCCATGCCTAGTGCGAGTGAGTAGTGCGTGCGCACATAAATTTGGTTTTAAGTTTAGAGAATCATGTGCGAATCGACACCAATGTCCCTAATTAAGAACAAAAGCCACTCACCCGAAGGCAATTTTCCGTAGACCGCTTTGATAATAACTAGCCCCATCCTCTTCTCTTCGTCACTTCTGATCCGCGAATACGTTTCTCTCATCAGCTCGACAGTCGCACGCGCTTGACGCTGCATTTCTTGCAATCTGTTGTTAAATAAACACGATCTTTAAAATTTAGGAATAATTTTTCAGTTATTAGTGGAGTATATTCTTATGTCGAAAGGACTTAAAACCACAATGTAATTTTTAATTTAATGTATTTTAACATTTGTTAACATTTACCTCAATTTATAACGGACTTCAAAAATATTGTAATAACAACACCTGTATGTTTGTAATTTATAAGGATCGCGAAATATTCGCAGTCTATGTTGGTGGGCTTCTTTCGTGCAAAATTTATAAATTTAATTTATTTCAAATGTAGTTAAGGGTTTATAAAATTCATAAAAAAAGAAAGATAATGTTCCCCGCGTGCTAATACTGTACTTGGTGTAGCATTTTCTAAATATAAATATTTAATTATTAATTCACAATTTCAATACAATATTATAAAAATAATTGTAAATTATTATTGTAAAATTAATAAAGTATTTAGTAAGTGTAGTATGTTACATATTTATATTACTTAGTTATGACTATATGTGTGTCATTGAAATCCGTTGTAAGTTTTCGGAAAGCGCTTAGATTTCGAAATACGCTTGGATCTCGAAAACCAGATTCGCCTATGTTTACCTTTTTAAAGTTAGTTTCCATCGACCGTTGCCTTTCATGTCCTTGGCCTCTCTCTAGCTACATGATTCAATACTGGTTTTTTCAACACTAGCCACGGCACTAGAGGAATGACTGTGGCGTAGAACACAAGCGACCGCATCGCCTTCTCGCACAAATGTATGGGCAGCACTCAACGAAATATAAATAAGGGAGCATTACTCTCTAACAAAGGAGGTCCTAGCAGTTAGTCATTTAACCATGTGGTTCCAATCTCATACTACTAAATTTCATTACTAACGCGACACGCACAAAGACAAAAGAAAATACTAGAAACTCATTTTTTCTTGAATTTCACTCATAAATTACGTGAACTCAAGATTATCTCGTCGGCGTGTTGATCGCACTTTTTCTCCCTCTCGCCCTTGATTACAATTTTCGTGGAACCACTTTTTAAAGCAGTTCGTGTTCATTTCTAATTGGTTAGCACCACCTTGACTATTGTTTATGACGAACATTTCCTCCTGCTTCGCCTCGGTTAATCTTTCAAAGTAAGCTTCCAACGTCCATTGCCTTTCACGTTCTTGCCTCTCTCTAGCTATGGGATCGAGCACAAGTTTCTTTAGCACCAACCACGACACCAAACGGAATGACCGTGGCGTAGAACACCACTCAACGAATCAGAAATGATATGGAAGCATAGAAATGATATTACGCGAGCATCTCATCGGCGTGTTGATCGCACTTTTTCTCCCTCCCGCCCACTTGATTGCAATTTTCGTGGAACCACTTTTTAAAGCAGTTCGTGTTCCACATCATTTGTAATTCGTTGGCACCGCTTGACTATTGGTTGTGGGGACAAATCCACCTGATTAGCCTCGTTTTCCCTTAAAAGTAAGCTTTTATTGACCGTTGCCTTTCCCTTTCCTGCCTCCAGTATGGGCACTACTATGGTTTGTGAAAATCATTTCCACCTACTTCACCTCGTTTTACCTTTCAAAGTTAGCTTCCATTGACCGTTGCCTTTCCCGTTCTTGCCGCTCTCTTGCTATGGGATCTAGTACTAGTTTCTTCAGCACCAGCCACGAAACCAGAGGAATAACCGTGGCGTAGAACACCGGCGACGGCATCACTTCCTCGCACAGATGTATAGGAACCACTATTGTTTGTGACGAACAAGTCCACCTGGAGGGAAATCGAAACTTTGAATACACAAGCAGTTATTGTATTATAAAAGTTCTTTATATGGTGTTCTTTTAAATATGAACGTTTTTATTACTTGAATTTTTATTATTTTAAGCTCTAATAAATATTTCCAACACTCACATCAATTGGCGTAGCCCCAAAGTAAGCACTGCAGGCTTGTGTTATGGGATACTAGGGTAACGGATACACATATAAATAGAAGTATATCGACACAAATTAAATATCCATGACTGGAATACAAATGCTCGCATTCATCATACAAACAACTGCCTCGAACTGGAATTCGAACCCAGGATCTCTCAAGTAGGCGAGACCTTGAAACCCAGCGTACAAGCCACGCGGCCACGGTGGTCATCATATAATTTTTTTATTTTATTAAGTTCTGCTCCCGACTTCTGCTCCAATGGTTGCATGTCAGAATCCCAGGAAGGGCATTCGTTTGTGTGATGAACACAATTATAATTGTTCCATGGTCATTTATTTAATCTATATGCCATTTAGTTTGTGGGCGTCATGATTATTTTAGTTATTATCGGTCGATAATATCGATTTTTTCATACTATTTATTATTGCGTCGTTATTATCGCAGCAGTGTGTAACTTCATAGCCGTTCTCATACATAATGTACTAAAAACAGATATCGCATTAACACATTCGTTATTGTCGACCGATCATAACGCGCCTATAAGGAGAGGCCTTATTTTGTGCATCGTTTATCATTACTAGTGGTCGCCTAGCTTGTACTGTCAAAAAATCACCATGTATTTCAAAGTTATGATAGTGTATGTAATATTTATTTTATTTATTTAATGTATTGAATATTTAATATATTAACAAGAAATAAATATTTTTCACCATATAAATTTTAATTATGCATCTTACACTACTCCTGTAGCAAATTGTGCTTATAAAAACACATTATGACAGTTAAATGCCGATAAGACTACATCATAATTCCACTGCGGTGATCTAGGCAAAATATTTAAACTATGGTAGTCTTGGGAGAAAGTATAATATCAGTAGCTATCCCAGCGAACTTCGTATCGCCATAATAAAAAAATAGGGGTTGGTGGTAGAAGCGTGAAAATTTGGGGTTGTATGTACCATAAAAAAAGGCTAAAAAAAAATTTAACGGAAGACCACCCTTAACATTTAGGGAGATGAAAAATAGATGTTGCCCGATTCTCACACCTACTGAATACGCATATTAAATTTCACGACAATCGGTCGAGCCGTATCGGAGTAGTTCAATTACGCACACCGAGACACGAGAATTGTATATATTAGATATTACTCACTTCAATTTGAGCATTACACCACTAGGCACACCCAACATGACTGCAGCTGAGACGCTACTGTTTTGTGACACTTTCTTCTCTGCTCCATACTCGGCAATCGCGCCGAATGTACCGAACCTGCGAAGCAATAAAAGGAGAATATTGAAAAACCTAAGCCCGACTTAAAGGTAAATAAATTAGAGAAATCGCTATTTTTATTTGGCAAGATGGAAAAAATATCCAAACCCGACAGAAACTAAATATATATATCTCAGTTTTTGTAAGTATTAAATTAACAAAATTTTGTATGGGTGGCATCATCAACATTGATGGCAAAATGAGGGAAATTTCTATTTTGATTTGGCAGGATGGAAAAAAATTCCAAACCTGACAGAAACTAAATATGTCTCAGTTTTTGTAAGTATTAAATTAACAAAATAATTTATGGGTGGCATCATCAATATCGATGGCAAAATGAGAGAAATTGCTATTTTTATTTGGCAGGATGGAAAAAAAATCCAAGCCTGACATAAACAAAATATGTCTCAGTTCTTTAGTATTATTAATTGAAAAAATCTTGTAGGTGGCATCATCAAAATCGATGGTTATATGAGAGAAATTGCTATTTTTATTTAGCTGGATGGAACAAATATCCAATCCCGTCAGAAACGAATTATGTCTCAGATTTTTATATTATCATTGAAATAAATATTATCATAATCTTTGGCTAATTGAGTGAAATTGTTATTTATATTTGGCAGGATGGATAAGAATCCAAGCCCGACAGAAATGAAATAGGTACGTATCAGATTTTTGTTTAATTAAATGAAAAAATACTATATAGTTGGCATCATCATCCAATCCAATAGCAGAAATATAGCCTTTGCTTATATTTCTACTAAAATAGCAGGGTAGCCCAAGCGGGATTTTTGGATTAACTCGAGGGCGGCAGATTAATAACAACCTTGCCCCTTGTGAAGTACTCCCACCATATTTGTTTCTTAGGTTTTCACGCACATCACTCATTAAAAAAAACTAGTTTTTACGGGTTAATGCACGAAACTTTATTTATTTATTGACGTTTCGCAGCCTTTTCAGGTCTGTATCGTCAGAACTAATTATTCTGACTGAATTAGTTTTATTACTCCCACCATACCTGAACCTTCTATGTAGTGACGAACGTCTAGGGCAGCAAAAACAAAACGACTTTTGCTCGAAAATAAATTTTCGAGCGCGTCAGACATTGAGAAGGGGAGTCACGTGAACCCTCTGGTAACTCCTATTTATAGACCAAGAGCTACTGAACCCTCCGAGTAACGGTATGTCTGTAAGGCTAGAAATTCTTATGGTGATGAGTCATAGCATGCTTAATAGGGTAAGCATCGCCTGGCACTCCTCAGCCCTGCACGTCACTCTCCTACTATTAAAAGACTGACGATTTGAACACGACCAAAAGTCCGTGGCAGTTCGTTGAAAAAAAAATTGCTGCCCTAGACGTTCGTCACTACATAGAGGGTTCAGTACCCTTAGTACGAGTTTGAGCTGACGATAACTATCATAGTTTTCGTATACTTAAAATTTAAGAAGACGCAAATGATTTAATGATAGAATTTAAACACTGCTCTGTATTGAAACGAAAACAATAAAATTAGTACCCTTCGTAAGAGTGAGAGCTCACGAAAACAATCACGAAAACTATCCATAGTTTTTGTAATTGTTAAACTTGTAGTAAGGGTACAGGTATGGTGGGAGTACTTCAACTGCCGCGCTCGTGTAAATCCAAAAATCCCCGCTTGGGCTCCCATACTATAAGATTGTGCCAGCAACACCTGGTCTTTGAAGAAACCATTCATCGCGATAAAAGTCTGCTATTTTAATCAAGATAACAAGATATCTGTATCCGCCCGGCTTGCGGAAGGTTCTGGTTCGTATCCGGTCTGAAACATAGACCGAATGTTTTTTTTTTCAGTAATGGTTTTTTTAAGATTTATAATTCTAGCACTTAAATGCCTAATATATATAACTTAAGATATCTGCATGTCAAATTTCATCCATATCCTTAGAGCCACTTTTCGCAATTCAGTAACAAACATCTTAATTAGCAAACATTAAAGGAACAGGAACATTAATAGAAATTTAAAACCTAATTACACATGTAGGTTATATAGACCAATTACGCACAATTATCGAACCGTTAATAATATTACAAAGCAAAAGTGTTTGTTTGTTTGATAACATCACGCTATGATCAATAGGAGAGGAGCATCAATGAAAAATGTTATGAAAACAGGAAAAAATATTGTAATTTTAGGGCTTCTGCTGCGTGCAGTCACAAAATAATAAATAATACACAAAAATCATTAAAAGTTTTAAAAATAATTTAGGAACTGCATATAGATATCTTTTATGGGTAATGGGTATGGGTATAAAATAATGCATTCTGTGCAAAGATGGTACTTCGCCAGAGGGCGGTATACGTAAAAACATTGGCTCCCCGCAAATTTTAAAAAATAAATCCAAAACATTAGTATTATAGTGATTCTATTTCATCAAAGTGATAATTAATTGGTAAATAATGCGTGTTAGTGTTTGTGATAAAATTAGTGGAATAATAATTAAAAAACTGGTCAGTGCAAATTTGAACAGTGATAGTTTAAAAATAAATAGTTTGGGTTGCGTAATAATAATAAAAAGGACACAATAAATATATTTAAACATGAACTAGGTAAATAAGTGATAATTGCGAGTGTTATCAAAATAGTTTTTGATTTAACATAACGGATTTATTTGTTTACGGATGGACTATTTACCTACCTTACTTGACATTAACAAGTCCGCGAACTACCTATGGCGCCACCTAGTGTCGAGTAGCTGTCGTTTTGGTTTAATAAAATTAGAGCAAGTAGCGACATCTGGTGAGCTTGTCACTTACTAAATTGGATTGAGTGCTTTCAAAGCAAGAATCACTGCACTATTACTTTTAGTTTTAAAGCAAGAACCATTGCAGCACATAAAACAAAACTTTTACTACGTACCTCAAGATGGCAGGCATATGTGCAGGATGCCGTCAAGAGATACTAGGAAGACAATTTTTAAAATGCTCTATCTGCTTACAAAATTATGATCTTGAATGCTGTAACGTATCTGAGAAACGGTTCTATAATACCATGAGTAAAGAGCACAAACAGTCATGGAAATGCCAATTGTGTCGCTCAAAGGAACCAAAAACTGACAACAGTAATACTCCGATTCGGCCTCACACTGAAAATTTTGACCGCCCCTGTAAGCAATCTTTAGATACTAACATCACCTTTAGAAAACTGAAACCACGTAACACAGGGGATCGCCCGAACCTTAGCGATGATGATTCAATAAACTCACTGCAGGGAAACACTATTATATTCGATACCCCTAAGACCCAAAGTAAACTAGACCTGAGCACTAATATGGGGGATGAACAAATTACCGTGGAAAGAATGAAGATATTATTACACGAAAACAACCAGAGCATATTAACAGCTATACAAGCTTCTATTAGAAACGAAATAGAATTAGCTATATCTAGGATGAAAGCAGAATATGATAAAAAATTGGAAAATATTGCATTTGAGCAATCGCAGTTGAAACAAAAAATATCAAATGTGGACAGTATAATAATGGAACTAAATAAAAAATGCAGATCTCTTCAAACAGAAAATGAATGTATACAAAATAAGTTGCAACACTCGCATATAAATTTACACCAGCCAACCAACGAAAATATAGATAAAGTTTTTGTTTTACACGGACTAACAGAGTATTACTGGGAAACCGAAAGCGAAATAATGGGCAGGGTAACGAACATTTTCTTCGACATACTAAACTTGGACATATCAGCCTACATCGAAGAAGTATCTTTCATAGGTAGATCTACAAATAAAAGACCTTTAAAAATCGAAATAACCAATAAAAGATTGAAAAGATACATACTTGAAAATTCTTATTATTTAAAAGAAGCCGGCTTTGGTGTTGCAGAGTATTTTAAGCCCACAAGCTCTACAGGAGAGAAAAAAACTAAACAATGCCTTGTATTCGGCACGAAAACAAGGACATTATGCCATAATAAAAAACAATAAGTTGTTTATTGATGGCAAAGAGTGCGAAGAACCGCCACTAAAGGACACACCGGTGCATTCAACTAACAAAAATCACTTGAAGACCACTGAGCACAGTCCCGGAAAACGTCGAAACTCAGCCACACCTCGTCCACCCCGTACCCAAACTGTAAGAACAAACCAACCAGGCAACAGCAGGAGGAGTGACGAAAATTATACTAAAAACTCTACTTTTCGTACCTTTCGAAACCAATTTTAATATTTTATTTCAAAACATGCAAAGCATTTCTAACAAAACACATATTATAGAGGCATTTACTGGGGAGAACTCTGATCTTCAGGTTCTATGTATATCCGAGACTTGGCTAAATAAACATAAAAAAGATTTCTTAAAAATTGAGGGTTACTTGGTATGTTCGTCTTTCTGTCGGGAACATCACCAGGGAGGTGGTGTATGTATTCTAATAAAAAATACAATTGAATTTATTGATAGGTTAGATATATCCTCTATATCATTGGAGATGATCTTCGAAACATGCGCTGTCGAAATACCTAAGTTTAATTTGTTAATAATAATTCTCTACTGGCCGAATAGTAAAAGAGAAGTGGACACATTCTATGTTTGTTTGGAAAAACTACTAAATCTCTTATCCAGAAAAGATTCCACAAAAAATATAGTCATAGGCGGAGACTTTAATATTGATTTTCTAATAAATAACGCTGAAAAACAGAGGCTTTCTAATAATATGCTATTATATAATTTCACGCAAAAAATTAAAGAAGCGACTAGAATTACTCCATATAGCTCGAAATGTATTGATTTGCTATTCCTGAATTTTACATTAAACGATACTAAGGTAGCTGTTGATGAATTCGGTTTTTCTGACCATCGCGGTATATTAGTTACTGCACCTTTTAGTAAAAAAGAAAATAAACATTTTTTTGTATACAAACGAGTGTTTTGTGACCTAAACGTAAGTAAATTTAGGAACGCACTTACACTTATAAATTGGGAGGACTTGCTGAATTCTGGTAAAAACGTTA